CTGTGAGCTAAGCATAGTTTTAATGTTTTTAAATGGTTGGATAAATCAAAAGAAGAAGAAGATTTTGTGACATGTGAAGATTATATGAAATTCGGTTTCAGTATCCAAAAATAAATGTTTAGTCACACTAGTCATTTCTGTATTGTCTACGGCTGCTTTCATGATATCATGGCAGATTTGAGTGGTTACAACAGAGATCATATGGCTTTTCATATTTACTACTGGCCTTTTACAGAATAAGTTTGCTAATCCCTGCTTTAAATGACGTTTTAGTTGTTCAGGTTGCTATGACAAAAATACCAGAGACTGGTATTTATTTCTCCCAGTTCTGGAGTCTGCAAAGTACAAGATCAAGGCGTCAGCAGATCCGGTGTCTGTTGAGGGCCTTTTTCTGGTTTGTAGACAGCCATCTTCTCACTGTGTCCTCACATGGTGGAAAAGGCAAGGGAGATCTGTGGGGTCTCTTTTATAAGGGCACTAATCCCATTCATGAGGGCTCCTCCCTTATGACCTAATCACCTCCCCAAAACTCCACCTGTTAATACCATCACATTAGGGATTAGGTTTCAACATATGAATTTTGGGGGTGATGAAAACATTCTGTCTGTAGCAAATAAGTCAACTCTTTAATCCTCTTGATAACCCTAGGGGAATTATTACTTCCATTTTATGAATTAAAGATGTTCAAGGGGATCAAGGGATTCATCTAAGCCAGAGTTTCTTAACTTTGGCACTATTTGACATTTTAGGTAGGATAATTCTTTCTTGTGGGGGCTGACTTACGTCCTGTAAGATGTTTAGCAGCATCCCTGATCTCTGACCACTAGATACCAGTAGCACCCCAACTCCCCCATCCCAGTTGCAACAACCAAAAATGTCTCTCGACATTGTCCAATATCCCCTGGAGGCAGAATCGACCCCAGGTGGGAACCACACTGACCTAAGGTCGCAGAGCAAGTGATGGAGCTAGGACTTGAACCCTGAACCCAGGTGTTCAGCTACCAGTCACACTTCCAATGCCCTGGGATGGATTCTTTTGCTCTTGGTGATGGTTTCAGCTGCCGAAACTTTTAATCCCTTCAGTTGTCTCCACGACACTCCAAGGCTCCTGCGGGGAGACTGGCCTATCAAGCAAGGGCTTCTTTAAAAATGAAGTCAGATCCCGTCCTGACTCTCCTCTGCTCAGACACTCCCCTGGCTCCACTCCCATCTGGCTCAGAGGAGAAGCTAAAGTCCTGACTGTGAGCCCCAAGACCTCTGTGTGATCCACACCACTTCCTGCCGCCTCACTCCTGCCACTTCTCCCACCTCTCCTCCTCCTTCATGCCCCTCCAGCCCCACTGATCTCCTTCCTGCTTCCCAACACACCAGACGCACTCTCACTTCAGGCCTTTGCACTTGCTGTTCCTGTTGCCCCCACCCTTCTTCCCACAACTCTTCAGATGATTGGCTCCTTTTTATGCTGAGGTCTCAGCTCAAGTGCCATCAGCTCATATGTCTGCTCTGTTGACCTGATCACAGTAGTCCCCCTGCTCCTCCTCCCCACGCTGCAGTCACTTTCCATCACATGGCCCAGTTTCATTTCCTCTGTCACTTTCATCACAACTGGAAGTTTTATTTGGTTATTGTCTGTCTCCCTTTCTAGAATATAACTTTCATGGGAGCAAGGACACTGTCCTGTATTATTCACTGTGTACCCCAAGCTCATAGTCAATAGTACACAGTAGGTGCTCAATAAATGCTTTTTGAATGTATGGCAGACTGGGGTCACCCATCCCATTGCTGACCCATTACCACTCAGAGCTAGTCTTTCCCAAACATCCCTTTGACAATGACAGCTCAGGTTAGCCTAGGCTTGAGTTATGGGTTGTCAAGCAGCCTTGCAGTGAACTCCCTGCCCACGGGCCTGAAGACCTCTCCAAAAAGGGATGGGTGGGACAGGAGCTTGGAATTTTGAGTATCTTTTTTTTTTTTTTTTTTGGATCCAATGACTAGTATAGGTCAGGACCTGAGGAAGCACTCTGATTGACTGCACAAGAATGGGACACTCCTGTCCCATTTACTACATCACACTAAAGACATCGTGTTCTTTCCTCCTAGCTGCTGTGCGGAAAAACGGCCTGCATACTGTGCCCACGGAGATGCAATTTATTGCCGGCACAGAAGAGTGAGTTCCTGGTGAAATTCACAGAGGAGCCAGTGCTTGATCCAAGGAGATGATGAACAAGAATTCAACGCTCCAAGCAGTCCTCCGCCTACCCCCCAGTTTTTCTCCAAATGACCTAATGCCCAAGTTTCCACCATTTATAGCTTTGGCTCCAGGCTCCTTGAAAAAAGCAAATGTGGGAAGGGCAGGGGAGCACATTAAATCCCTAAAGGTCTGCTGAGGTGCAGGGTCTAGAAGGAGGGACCAGAAGAACAGGAGGCACAAGCCACACGACAGTCGTGGAGGAGAGGGTGTACCAGGCCAAGCGGCTCCAAAGACAAAAATATCCTGAGACACCCTTCGCACTTGTGTGACTTGAGAAGTATCTTGACACTGACAGCACATTTAGTCTTTGGTGTCTTTTGTATATGGCAGTGTGGATAAGATCTGGGTGCTTAGAACCACGCAGACCTGGCTTTGAAGCCTGGCTTTGCCGCTTACCGGCTCTGTGATTTGGACAAGTCACTTAACCTCTCTGAACCTCAGTTAGTTTCACTTACCAACTGGACATGATATCAGAACCCACCGTATAGGGCTGTTTTGATATTAAATGAGAACATGTAGCTAAAGCAGGTTTCTGGGCCTTCCATGTACGGATGGTAATGCTTGTTGTTAATGGCATTGTTATCTCGATTTAATGGTGATGAAACAAACAGCAGGAAGTAAAGTGACTTGCTCAAGGCATTGCTGGGCATCGGTCAGGTCTGTTTCATTCATTCAACAAATATTTATAGAGAGCTTACGATGAGCCAGGTACTGTCAGGGATACAGCAACAAACAGAAAAAAAAACCTGCCCTTGCGGAGAAACAAGTACACAGTAAAATCCATAGTGTGTCAGAAGGTTGGTGAGTGCTATGCAGGAGAACAAAGCAGGAAAGCAGGCTAGGGATGGGGTTGGGGTAAAGGGCAGTTTTTAAATGTGTGGTCAGGGAAGGCCTCACTAAGGAAGTCATTCTTGAGCAAACGGCTGTGGGAGGTGAAGGATCTGTGGGAACAGGGTTCTCAGCAGAAGGACCAGCAGGTGCAAAAGTCCTTAGAGTTCAAAGCAGCCAGGAAGCCAGTGTGGCTGGACCTGGGGGTCAGAGAGATTGCTTGTGTGGCAGGAAGATAATGGTAGAGGGACAGAGCATGTGGGACCTCATCGGCCATTGAGGTAGCTTTGACTTTGAATGAGATGGGAGCTGGTGGAGGGTTCTAGCAGAGGAGGGACCTGATTTTACCTGAGTTTATCTTATCCCATGGCCTGCGCTCCTTCCTGGCACCTTGTTTGGGGGCTTTGAGTCCAGCTTTGAGATATGGGTTCTATAGTTGGCCCAGCTACTCACTACCATGCAACCTGGGAACCACCTCCCCATGCAGAGCTTGTACTGAGTCTTTTGGAAAAGAGCTGATCCCCACTCTCTGGAACTCCGTGTCCACTGGATGCAGTCCCCAGCCCCACTCCGGGCCTCCGTTTCCCATCCAAACGAGGGAGGGAGTGAACGAGACGAGCGTGAGGGCCCTTTCCCTCTCTCATTCTCCTGTGAGGCTCAGTCTGGTTGGGGCCCCAGGTCTGAGGGAGGCCACAGATTCCTGACCAGGCCTCTCACCCTGAAAAGTCAGGCCAAGGCATCCGTCTCCAGCTGCTTCCAGCCGTTGTCTTCCTTTCAGACCCAGATCACATCCCCACTGCCCTCTGGAGAAGGGGCCCCTCATGTTAGTAATTAAGGCCTGAAGATATTTGAACTATCTCATTCTTTATAAGAAATTGATTTGTTACGCAGGGACAATTCTTAGTTTTATTCGCTTATAAACATTTTATAATTGCACAAGTAAAAAGAAAAAAAACTCTTAAACAAAAAGAAAAATGTGCTCAGTATCTCACTCCCAAAGATAGATTAGAACAGTTAAGTAAATACGATTCTAGACTGTTTCTTGATATCTCTCTATATACATAAGTGCATTTCTGTATTTAAAAAAATTGATCACACTACATATGCCACTTTATAACGCATCATCTCACTTAATGGAGTGCAGTGGACATCTTTTCACCTCAATAAATTTGTGTCAACATCATTATCTTTTAACCATATAATTAACAATTCTTAATTTTATTTTTTCCCCAAACTCCTCAACTATACCAGGAAAATAACCCAGATAGTACAAATAAAAACTAAACGAGGGAAAAAATCCATAATTCCGTCCCCAAGAAAGGCACCAAAACAACTTTGTGTATACCATTGTAGACTTTTATTAATATTCATATATTCATGAAATATGTGCATATTTTTAAAATAAAAAACTAAGTAGTGCTGTTTCCTACCTTTTCACTTTATATAATGGACATCTTCCATTTTAATAAACGCCCATCTACATCACCTTTTTTTTTTTTTTAATATTTTTATTGGGGTATAATTGCTTTACAATGGTGTGTTAGTTTCTGCTTTATAACAAAGTGAATCAGTTATACATATACATATGTTCCCATATCTCTTCCCTCTTGCTACATCACCATTTTTAATAGCTGCGTTGGTATTCCATCCAGAAAGAGGATCATCTTTTTTAGCTAATCCCTTTTTGATGGATGTTTAGGTTGTTTTCCATTTAAATTATATTTAATACCAATTATTACTTTACGACAACTTCTTAGAACACTTAAGCTGAAGGGTTGCACATTTTTAGAGGTTTTTGGAGCCTGTGCCAATTGCCTTCTGGAAAGTTCACTTAGCTCTCCCATCCTGGGCAGTGTGTTTCCCCATAAGGCCAGGAATTCTGAGTGTCTTCTGAATGGCTTCTCTTTGGATTTGTTTAAAGCAAAGACTGTCCTGAGGAGGCGGAGGCTCCAACGGATCTCCAGGCTAACTCTAAGAAGGAGGAGGAATATCGCAGGAACATCTGGAAGGGCTTCCTCATCTCCATCCCCTACTCGGCCAGCATCGGGGGCACCGCCACCCTCACGGGCACGGCCCCCAACCTCATCCTGCTTGGCCAGCTCAAGAGGTAAAAGCCAGCGCCCCACCCACTCCCCAGCACGGGGGTTTCTGTTCCTTCTATTCTTCTCCTCCTCCTTCATCCAACATTCAGGGGTGTCTGTTGAATGTCTTCTATTGGCCAGGCTCTGGGGACCCAGCGATGCACAAACCCCAGCAAAGTCCTTACTCTGGGGCACTTCCATTCTGGTGGGAGAGACAAGCAATACAGGAAAAAGCAAAGGAATATATAATATGTTGGTGTGACAAGTTATGAAATAAAGCAGGATAATGGAGTAGAGGTGACAGGAGTGATGCTGTTTTATGTAGGTTGGTCATGGTTGTGTGATCTCTCTGATATGGTGACATTTGAGCAGAGACCTAGAAGTGAGGGGATGAACTCTGTGGACACAGGAGGGAACAGCAACCCAGACAGAGGGAATAGCTTGTACAAAGGTGGGACTGTCCTGGGGAACAGCACAAAGCCCAGCCAGGCTGGGGTTCAGAAGGGGATAAGGTAAGAAGAGGCCAGACTAAGGCAACAACTGTAAGGACGCGGCTCTTCCTAAAAGTGAGATGGGGAGTCAGAGGAGAGCTGAGAGCCGAGGGGTGACACGATATGACATCTCCTTCTAAAACCAACCCCAGTGGGAGGTGTTGGCGTGTGGCTGTGATGTGCCGTGAGAAGCTTTGCAACCAGCCACACGGGCCAGCAGTGGAGCGGATTCTGCCAAGAAGTGAAATCTCCCCATCGCTGAAACTGTTCAAGCAGAGGCTGGGTGGCCATCTGTCAGGGCATGAGAATCAGAGAAGGATTCGACAAGGTGGCTTGTCGTTGATTCCATTATTCCAAACCTCTTAGTCTGAAGATTTAAAAAATCCTTAGAATCCTTCAAGATTCTAAGTATTTTCAGATTCCAGGATTCTGAGAGGCGGGGTTTCTAAGATTTCATTGCAGTGGAGATGCATTTAATCTATGATTGTAAGTATTTGACAAACAAACAGCAACAAAACTATTTGATATTCAACATGGCCACATGTGCTGGCCAGCTTCTTTATCTGGTATTCAACCAAAGAATCAAGGACTTACTGGGATGATGGAGGGAAAGCTGGTTCGGTTGGTCTTCCTGAGAGCGGGCTTGGTGTACATAAATCAGTACTATACTTGCGGGTAGTCAAAGTTATTTTCATGAGAAAACTTAAGTACGCCCATGTCTTACCTCATGAACCAATTTTAAAACCTTAACCCTGCACCATATTCTCAGGTTCTCAAATCCTTTGATTTTAAGAGTATGATGAAAAACAGTGATTCTCAGCCATGGGTGAAAAAAATATCCTTGGATCTCAGTTGCAGAGATTCTGATTCAGGAGGTAGCAGTATTTCCCCAATTGATTTCAGCCCACTGCAAACCTTCGGTGTCTTTTCGTCTCCATTCTTTGAGCAAGACTTGGCTGTGAGACTGGAAAACCAGAAGCCGAGATGGCCCTGCTTCAGATGTAAGGACGATCCGGGCTGACCCTTTAGTCTCCTCCCTTAGCAGGAAGTGCCGGCAAAGGGGCAGTTGACTGGGAGGACAAAGCAGAGTCTTGGGTATTAGTTCTTGCTGGAGCACATCCCCAGGGCTGGACAGGAAAGACGTGGACTCCGGGGGCCTCAGGGGCTGGTCCTGAGTTGGGGATTGGGGAGAATGGGAGGGCATTTGCTATCAGAGGGTTTTTAGGCTGCCTGTCTGCTCTGATGTGAGCAAGCCTTTGTTCCGACTTGAAAAGAAATTAGGGGGAAAATGCTGGAGCTGTAAGTAAAAGTATCAAACATGAAGGATTTTGAGTAAAGTGCACGCAAACTACATGCAAACCATATACAACATTTAATTGCACGAGCTAGGACCTTGTGGTCAGGAAGGAGGGTATTTGAAAGGAATATGGGGTTAATATGGGGTTCTGAATCCCCATCGGGGAACCTGGGGAGACAGGGAGATGGCTGCCCTGAATGTTCTCCTTGGCCTTTGCTCCCCAAATACATTTTATGAGTTTATTCTGATCATGCACGATATAGACACATTATAGAACACTCAGAAAATACAGGAAAAATTTGGACGACGTTCAATCCCACTGTTAATATTTAGCATACTTCCTTTAGTTTTCGTCTGAAAGTAGATGTGCATCCGTCGGCGTGGCTGACCTCGGCGGGCTCTCACCTCCCTCTTTTCTCCAGTTTCTTCCCACAGTGCGACGTGGTGAATTTCGGCTCCTGGTTCGTCTTCGCCTTCCCTCTTATGCTGATGTTCCTGTTGGTGGGCTGGCTCTGGATCTCCTTCCTGTATGGAGGGATAACCCTGAGGTACCCTGGTGTTTCACCTGAGCTTTGCGGCGGGATGAACCGTGCTCAGTAGCGAGTGGCCGTCCTAAGTCGTTACAGTTTCATGTCAGATGTGGCGCCTGTAGTCCTCCTCGCCTCCCAGGGATGTGGGGATTACAGGTGCTGTGGGAACTCGCCTGCTAAGCCCAGGCCCTCAGTGAATGTCGCTCACCATCAATAATTACTAACAGTGTTGTTACTTAAGTAAGGTACACACTCGTATCAGAGAAGCAGGTGTGTAGCGTTTCCCATTTCACAGGACCTCAGTACAGGAGAGAGTCTGGGGGGTCATGAGGACAAGGTATCAAATAACATTGACTCAGACAGTGAGAAAAATATTCCTTTATCGACTCATGTAGAATCGATCTGCTTATGCTGGGGAGAAAGTCTCAGTAGGGTGAGGAAAAACTTTAACTCTCTAACCTTTCCAAATTAGCCTTTTAAAAAAGAAAGAGCAAGCCTCAGGCCCAGAGACTAAAGCCAGCAGTGGTATCTAGCCATTTTGCTTTGCTTTCATGTCTTTATTTTTGTGGGTACTCTTTTTTTTTTTGCGGTACGCGGGCCTCTCACTGTTGTGGCCTCTCCCGTTGTGGAGCACAGGCTCCGGACGCGTAGGCTCAGCGGCCATGGCTCATGGGCCCAGCTGCTCTGCGGCATGAGGGATCTTCCTGGACTGGGGCACGAACCCGTGTCCCCTGCATCGGCAGTCGGACTCTCAACCGCTGCGCCACCAGGGAAGCCCTGTGGGTACTTTCTATGTATGACAAGTGATTCTTGTTTTCTACGTATGGGAGCGATAGAAATTTTTCCATTTAAATACATTTCTTTAATTAAAATGCTGAGTCTAGTTGGAGGAAAATGTTAAGGAAACACGAGCCCCGTGGTATGTGGCTATACGAACGTTTGTGAAAGTAGGTTATGAATGCCTGGAGTTTGGGGAATACTAAAATAGGAGCTGCAGCTCAGGGCTGGGGTAGCAGGCATGTCATAAAGTCATTCTCTGATTCAGTCCCCTCACCTCTCTGGGCCTTAATTTTTCTCATCTGTAAAATGGGACCAGTAAGAGCTACTCTGGATCAAAGAGATGTGAAAACACCTTGAGACTAGAAAGGCTCTGATCGTGGTGTTCCTTGATCCCTCAGAGCAGAAACTCAGGGTTCAAAGCCCAGCTTAGCCGAGAGAAGCAAGCCCAGACATTGGACTCAGATAAACCAGAGTTCACATCATGGTTCTGCATGACCTTGAGCAACTCTGTCACCTCCCTGAGCCTTTAGTTCTTTAATTTCTTCACTTGTAGATGGGGGATAATAATGAGCTACACCTAAAATAAAGTCTAAATGAGGGAGAGTGCGAAAACTGCCCAGTGCTGAGCCTGAAACAGAGCCCCTTTCTCCTGTCTGCCTGTTCCTTGGACATCTGCAATACTTGGTCTCGGAGGAGGCTGTGATGAAGGAAATGTAGGTGGAGGGAAGCCCAGTGAGAGAGGTGTTGCTGGGTGGGTAGCAGGAAAGGTTCCGGCTAATCCCATGACACCACCTTCCTTCAGCAAGTATCCACCGAGCATCTGCTACGTGCCTGATGCTGTCACACAGGTGCTGAGGATGCAGCCCCTGGGCAAGGCTGAGGCGCTCCTGCCCTTGGGGAGCTTGCAGTCTAGGTTGGGGGAGACAGACAGTGAACAACTAATCAAAGCAGAAATACCAGTCATGATTAGTGCTGGGAGGGAAATGGATGGTGAGATCTGATGGTGCACGCTAGAGGGCTCTCACCTTACTGGGAGGGCAGGAGAGCTTCCTTGGGAAAGTGCGTTTGGAACAGGAATAGGAAGAGTGAATAGATTAACCCAGTAAAGGGGAGAAGGAGATAGGGGTGATGAAGAGCATTCCGGGCAGATAGAGCAATGAGTGCAAAGGCCCCCAGGCCAGAGGTAGCAAGGGGTCTTCTGCAAATGAAAAAAGGTTAAAGGGACTGAGTTCAGGGTGTGAGGGAGATTTGTGGGCCATGAGGCAAAATGATCAACTGGGCATGATTTTACCTCCCCCCAACCTCACCCCGACCCAGGGACTTTTGGCAACGTCTGGAGACATTTTGCTTGTCACAGCCAAGGAAGTACTCCTGGGGTCCATGGGGTAGAGGCCAGAGGTGCTGCGAAACATTCTACAACATACAAGTCAGCCCCCTACACCAAAGAATTATCCCACCTCACAACAAAGAATGATCCTGCCCCAATATTGTCAAGAGCTCCAAGACTGACAAACCCTGGGTTAGATCACTGAGGGCCTTGTGGGACATGGATCTTCACAAAAAAGAACCGTTGTGAGTTTTTTAAAAAGCATTTATTTGTTTAATTTGGATAAGCAACACATACACATGGTTCAAAAATCAAAAACAATACAAAGAGGTACGCAGTGAGAATTCTTCCCAGCCATGCCTTCGATTACCCAGTCACCCAATACATCCCTCCCAAACAGGTATCCACTTTTATTGGTTTCTCGGGTAATCTTCCAGAGTTTCCATAAGCAAATACAAGCAGATACTATATATTTTCTGGTGACTGGTCTCCCTGACAGATACCATTTTGTATAGTAACAGGTATTTTTGTAAGGTAGATTTCCATAGGAGGGATTTCTTTTTTTTTTTAATTAATTAATTAATTTATTTTTGGCTGCATTGGGTCTTTGTTGCTGAGCGCGGGCTTTCCTCTAGTTGCGTCGACCAGGGGCTACTCTTCGTTGCGGTGTGCGGGCTTCCCATTGGGGTGGCTTCTCTTGTTGCGGAGCACGGGCTCTAGGTGTGTGAGCTTCAGTAGTTGTGGCACGCGGGTTCAGTAGTTGTGGCTCACGGGCTCTAGAGCGCAGGCTCAGTAGTTGTGGCGCACAGGCTTAGCTGCTCCGCGGCTCGTGGGATCTTCCCGGACCAGGGCTCAAACCCGTGTCCCCTGCATTGGCAGGCAGATTCTCAACCACTGCGCCACCAGGGAAGCCCCATAGGAGGGATTTCTGGCTCAGAGAATAAACACTTTATCTGAATAGATATTGTCCAGTCGTTCTCCATAGGAATTGCACTAATTTGTTCCCCCATTTACAATGTATGAGAGTGTCTGTTTCCATGCAGCAAAGTGGATTTTTGCCAATCTGATAAGAGAAAAATAATTTGCGTTTATTTTAGAAGTAATTTTGAGAAACTTTTCATATTGAGGAGCAATATGAAAACTTTTCATATATTCATGGGAGACCCTGGTATTTCCTTTTTTGTGAATTGTTAAACTGTGTGTTTATATCTTTTGTACATTTAAAAAATTGATTGTTGGTCTTGGTTTTATTGATTTCGAGTACTCTTTCTATATTGAAAGGTTAGTGCTTATTTTGAGTATGAGTTGCAAATATTTTTTCCTGATTTTTTACTTTGATTATAGTGCTTTCTTCCATGCAGGATTTTTTAGAAACATTTTATGTAGATGAATTTATCAATCTTTTCTTATGTGTCTTCTGAATTTTCAATTATAGTTAGAAAGGTCTTTCCATTATAGGAGTTATAAAAGAATAATCCCATGTTTTCTTCTAGTGTTTTAATATTTTTTATGTTTAAATTTTTTATCTATTTGGAGCTTATCCTTAGGGTGCAGTGTAAGGATCCAACCTTGGGGTACAGGTTTGGATCCAACTTTTTTTTGTTGTTCCAGATGGCCATCCAGTTGTCCTGATACCATTTACTGACACACAAACGTTTTTAATTTTAATGAAGTCAATTTATCTATTTTTGGTTGCTTGTGCTTTTCGTATCACGTCTAAGAAATATTTGCCTAATCTGAAGCCATGAAAATTTACCCTATGTTTTCTTCGAAAAAATGTTACAGGTCTAGCTCTTCTCCTATTTAGGTCTTTGATCCATTTTGAGTTAAATTTTGTATGTGGTATGAGGTAAGGGTCCATGCTCATCTTTTTGCATGTGGCTATCCAGTGGTCTTAACACCATTTGTTGAAAGACTATTCTTTCCCCATTGAATGGTGTTGGTACCCTTATCAAAAATCAATTGACCGTAGAAATGTGGGTTTATTTCTGGACTCTCAGTTCGATTCCATTGATCTGTATGTCTAACATCAATGACTGAATAGGTCATCTTTTCTACACCAAGCTGGGATACCAACTTTATCATAGATTGAATCCCCATTTATGGTTTTGTCTATTTCTGGACTTTCTATTTTATTTCCTTGGTTTATCTGTTTATTCATGAGTCTGTTTGACCCCCTAAAGGATTTTAAGCCTGGGAGCCATATGATCAGTTTCACATTTTTAGAAGACTATCCAGGCTATAGGTGGGCAGAACAGATTTTAGAAAGGGAACATAGAGGCAGGCCGACCACTCAGCAGGCTGTTGCAGAGTCTCCAAAGCAGAGATAGTGAGACCTGGCCAGATGGTGGTGGGGTAGATGAGACGCCAGTTAGACTGCAGTGGCCGCTCCTAACCTCCCCACTTTCTGTTTCAGGGGCTGGAGGAAGAAGAAATCTGAGATCAGAAGTGATGCAGAAAGTAGGGCTCGAGCCATGATTCAGGAGGAATTCCAGAACCTGGGGCCCATCAAGTACGTGGCACAGGGGTTCTCAGGGCGGGGAGAGAGCCAGGTACTAGACTTTCAAGACAGCTACCTCTTGACTTAATCCCTGACCCCCTTGGAGACTGAGTCCCAAGGGGATTTCAGGACCAACGGCCTGGGAGCCTAGAGATGGAGGGTAGGGAGATGACTTACACAGTCAGCTCTTGCCCTGTCGCTGGGGTAGATACCCTGAGGACCAGTAAGCCTCTCAGGTTGAACTTGGAGGGGGAACCTGTCACCTTCCTGCCTAATGCACACTTTCCTTCCTGGTTCATGGAATACCGGATGCTGCCTTGGGTGGCTTCCAGAAGCTTGTTTCGCGCATATTTCTCATGTAGTGAAAATAACTAAGAGTTAGCAGGCCTTCACACAAGGTCTGACTCTGCCACTAATTTTTTGTGTAGCCTTGGGCAAGGCACTAACCCTCTCTGGGCCCTGCTCCCTGATCTGTGAAATGGGCACATTGGGTAGATATTTGCTGCAACATTTAGGGATTCTCTCTTTCTGCCTCTGTCTACCGCTCTCTCCATGTCTGTCCCTCTCTGTGTCTGTCCCCCTCTGTATGTATGACTGTTCCTCTCTCTTTGCCTACCTCTCTGTTTCTGTCAGTTTCCTTTCTCTCTGCTTTTCTGACTCTGTCTCTGTTTCACTTCTTTCTCTCTCTGGATTGTCCCTAGGACTATGGGAAATTCCCAGCGGGAGTGATATGAATGGTTTGTGGGGAGGGGTGCCTGATGCTCAGGAAGGATCCTAGGGCAGCATGGGAGCCCCAGGAAAGGAATCACTTACACCTGGGACACCACTCCCCTCACTCTCGGGACCACCTGGGGAGTGAACTACTTCCAGCTTTCAGAGGTAGGGCCTGGCCCAGTCACACCCAGTGGGCCCCTGCCTGAGGGCTTCCTGTGCTGTGGTCCAGCCACAGCCCACCGTCACAATGGTGTCTGCATCTCTGTGCCACAGGTTTGCCGAACAGGCCGTGTTCATCCTTTTCTGCATATTCGCCATCCTCCTCTTCTCCCGGGACCCGAAGTTCATCCCTGGCTGGGCCAGCCTCTTCACCCCTGGGTGAGACTCTGGGGACCCATGGGATGGAGTCCAACAGGGAAGACTCGGGGCTGGGCCGCCGGAGCTGAGGAGGCAGTGTAGCTGGGGAGAACTGGGCTAGGTTTCCACCTCTCATCCCATGTAATTATTAACAGTTCCTTCTTTTGCCCTCAAAAGTGTTTAGGTTTGGATGATAAAACATTTAGCGTCTCCTGTGTTAAGAGCTTTGCCTTTGGAATCAGACAGAACTGGGTTCGAATGCCAGCTCCGCCACTTACAAACTGTGCAACCCTGAACACGTCATTCATTCATTCATTCACTCAAACAACTTTTATCGAGCACCTATTTTTTGTTAAACATTATGCCAGCAGCTGGGGACAGAGATAAAAACAAATAGACAACAAAATAACTGCAAATTGTAATGAGTGCTGTGAAAGAAGGAGTGAGAGGGTTATACTCTCAAAGAATGGACTGGGGGGCATTGACTTTGGATAGGTTCTGGAAAGAACCAAAGTTTAGGAAGAGTAAAAATTAGAGACACACTGGGAATATCTACTAAAAGCCTGAGGTGGAAATCAACATTTGAAGAACTGAAAGAAGCCCAGTGTAACCAGAGCCTGGTGGGAGGGAGGCAAATTGGCAGACATGTGACTGGAAGGGCAGGTGAGGACCAGACCATGAAGGGTCTTGTTGGATATGCTAAGAGTTTTGGTCTTGTTTTTTTTTTTTTTTTTAATGGGAGATCAGTAGCAAGCTATTGGAGGGTTTTAAGGTACTTAATCTCTCTGTGCCTCAGCGTTCTCATCTGTAAAATGGTATTGTAAATAGTCCAATTCTCATTGAATTGTTCTAAGGAGCAGTGAGCTAATACATGTCAAGTGATTAGACTGGCACCTAGAAAGAGCTCAATCACATGTTAGCTGTATTTATTAGGGAATGGATAGTGGGGGCAAAATATAGGTGGGGAGAACAGTTAGGAGCTATAGCACCACCTAGATGACCCCAGCGGTCGTCAAACCAAGGCTCATGGACCAAATCTGGTCCACCGCTTGTTTTTGAATTTTTTTTAATGTTTTTAAGTGGCTAGGGGAAACATTTTGTGGCACGTGAACATTATATGAAATTCAAATTTCAGTATCTACAAATAAAGTTTTATTGGAACACAGCCACACCTATTCATTTACGTATTGTCTGTGGCTGTTTTCGTATTGCGTGCCCTTTATAGGAGATGTTTACTGAACCCTGGTTGAGGATGAAAGCTTCGATGGCTTGAATGAAAGTGGAGGCAATGGAGATGGAGCAGACAAGATATATTTCAAAGTTGGAAATGATAGGACTTGCTACTGGGTGGGATTTGGGGGCATGAGGGAAAGGAGTACCTGCACAGGTGGGTAGTTGGAGAATAACATTTCTTTAGGGGGTTGGGGGTGGCTTATCAACAATTCCATTTTGCAGTTGTTTTAGACATGTCAAGTCTAGAATGCCTTTCAAATACTGCAAAGGGTAGTTGGACGCGCAAACCTGAAGCTCAGAGGAGTCAGGTTGAAGATATAAATCCGGGGGTCACCATATAAATTTCCAATTTAAATCCCTAGGAATTGATGGGCTCAGCCAGGGAAAGCATATAGGAGCGTAGAGAAGACTCTGAGGAACCCCAGCGTTTAGGAGCTGGGTAGAGAATGATCCCATTAGAGAAAATGGAGAAGAAGCAGTCCGCGAGGTAGGGGGAAAACACTGGAGCAACGGACTAGCGCAGGTCAAGAGAGGGGAGTGTTTAAGGAAAGAGTGAGTGGACAAATGTGTCAAATTCTGGTGTGAGTTAGAACACGATTAGATGGAAGATACGTCCTCTGGATTTGGTGAGCTCTGATGATTTTGATTGGCACCATCCAATAGAGATGTTATGTGAACCACAAATGTGATTTTATATTTTTTAGTAGTCACATAAAAAAGTAAAAAAAACCCAAACAGATGAAATTAATTTGAATAATGTATTTTATTTAACACTATATCATTTCAATATGTAATCCATATAATAAATTATTGTTGAGCTATTTTACATCATTATTTCCACACTAAATCTTCAAAATCTGATGTGTGTTTTACACTTGCCACATTTAGTCTTGTTACATTTCAAGTGTCCAATAGACACATGTGGCTCATGGTGACCATACTGGATAGAGCAGCCCTACACACTTCACCCTCTGAGCCTCACACTCCCCCGACCCCTGGTAAAATGGGGGATACACGTTCCAATTTCATGAGGGTTCTTAAGAGGAAGAAACAATATAATATCATGGAGCCAAAAGAAGTGGCTCTTATTACCATTCTTTTATTTTTCCAAAATGTAGGTACTTTGGGTTTTTTTTCAAATGAAATCTGGTGTTATAAACATTCCAACAATAGTGAAAATCACTTAGAACCTCAGTCTGCAGTTCTGATGTATGTCTTTTTTCTGACTTAAAAAATGCCTGTCTGGGAACTGTTCTACATCGTGATCGCATTGGTGGTTATAGGACCGTATACATTAGTCAAAACTCATTGAACTATATCCTTAAAATGGGTGCATTTTATGGCATGTTAATTATACCTCAGTACAACTAATTTTAAAACACATGCAAACTCACTAAAAAGAAGCCTAGCAAACACAAGAATTTTTTAAACAGAAATGTGATTACAGTAAACATAGTATTTGTTGTTTTTTTTAACTTTTTATTGTATATTGGAGTAGAGTTGATTAACAATGTTGTGATAGTTTCAGGTGTACAGCAAAGTGATTCAGTTATACATATACATGAAACATAGTATTTGTGATCCGCTTTTTTCTTTGTTGTTTAGTTACAAAATTATGCTCATTATAAAAAACTCAAACAATGCTAAATTGAAAAAGTAAAAGTTAGTTTTCCTTCATTCCCCTGAGATTATCACAATTAACAGTTTGGTGTATAACATTTCAGATACACACACACAACCCATATTAATATATACACACATACATATATGTTTACATATAACAAAAAATTGGAAAATACAATAATACGATCATAGACAACCTGCTATTTCTGACCCACGTCATTCTTTTTAAACAGTGCATTGTAGTCTATAGAATGGGCGCATCTTAATTTAACCAATTAAATCCTTTTTGGATCGTGTCCAATACTGCAGATAAAAACTTGCTTTTTTTTTTTAATTTACAAGGTAACTTGGTTGTATTTCCATGTCAAATGTAACAATTGATAATATCTTTTATCCTTTTTTTGAACAGCTGAGGGGTATTTCATTATATATATTGTAATACACAGTGTATTTAAACATGTCCCTACTAAAAATCCTCCATTTTTTTCTAATCTTATCAATAATGAACATCCCGGTACATAATCTGTGTACAAGAGCCCAATTATTTCCTGAGGATAAATTCCTAGAGGTACAACAGCTGGATTAAGGGGTATTCACATGTAAAGTTTTGAAATGTATTGCCAGCATGTGTTTCTCAACATCCTCATTAGATATTATCGCCCTCTTCACGTTTTGCCTGTCTGTTAGCATGTGTTTTGATCTGTATTTCTCTATTACAGTGATATTAACCATCTTTTCCAGTTTCCTGGCTGTTTGAATACTCTTAGTCCCAATATGTGGGCTGAAGGCCCTTTTGTTGGCACTTGGCTCTGTGCCTCATTGAACTTGAAGCCAGATATATCTGAGTTCAAGGCCATCTCCTCTACAGCCTATGGTCTGGCCCTGAGCAAGTTGCTATTGCTCTTTGAGCCTCAGATTCCTCATCTGAAATGGAAGATGCCTGCCCTCAAGGGCTGTTTCTGAGACTTCTGTGGGCTTAACGTCTCCATAGGACATGTTATGGATCCTTGGAAGGTGGTAGTGAGGTTTTGAGGGGCTATGAGGTGGGCTCCATCTGAGCTCTGCTGGTGTGAATGGGCTGCCTCTCCATGTACTAAGCTGCCCATCCCAGGAGGGATGCAAGCAGGAGCTGAACAAATACATACAGGACTGTTACAGGAGCCCCGGTTATGGTGACGCATGGGGGTACCATAGACCCCAACCTTCTGTGGCTCTCAGATTCTCCCCTCTTTGATCAAGTCCCTCTTCCTAGGATCCTTGAAATGGGAGGATAAACATTTGTTTGGCCCAAGCAGAGTCTAAATGCCCCAGGCAGCAGTGGATAAAGAGCTTCTGCATCCATGGGTGGTTGCATCCCTGCTGATTGCAGTGCAGAACAGAATCCGGTGGCCTCCGACAGTGTTCCCTTCACGGTGGGCCTAATTCCCTTCGACAAATCCTCATTTGCAAATCTGCCAAACCTTGACCTGCTGAGATGCCCAGGGTCACATGCTTTGGGGCCTTGTCATTGTAGGTTTATTTCTGATGCTGTCACTGGCGTGTCCGTTGTCACCGTCTTGTTCTTCTTCCCGTCCCAAAAGCCATCTCTCAAGTGGTGGTTTGACTTTAAAGGTAAGGTGGGCAAGGCTGCGGTGTCGGTGGCCTGGAGCGTGGTAATCAGTGGCCTGAAGGTGGACTGACAGCCCTATTGTACTAATCACGTGGTGCTGCTTCTTCCCTTGCCCTGTCTGAGCATTTACCATGTCTGGGTACTCAGTGCTGCCAGAGGTGACAGTCCAGGGCAGGGATTAGCAATTATAGTCCATGGGCCAAATCCAGCTGGCTGGCTGTGCTTATACCGCCTGTGAGCTAAGAATAATGGCTTTCACATTCTTAAAATGGTTGAAAAGAATCAAAAGAAAAATATTTCATGACTCGTGAACGTGGCATGCAATTCAAATTTGTGTCCACAAACAAAATGTTTTTAATTTCTTCAATAAGAGGTTTGCGGACATCTATTAATATTTTCTTTAGTCATATAAGTACCTATACAGTAGCCTCGACTTTGCCCAGAAAAACTCTGGGCCCAAAGCAGGAGTTGCAAGTCAGTTGCCTAAGGGCCCGGAGATGAAAACCTCAAGCTGGGTTTAAATGGATAGCAAGTGGTGGGGGAACTGAGGCAAAACTGGCTATAGGCATTCAAATTCAGCCTCGGGGAATCACTGAGCCCTCCACACCAACCTGCCTGTAGGCTGGCCTTCAGATCACCAATCTGTGACCCCACCGGAATTCCAGCCGGTGTCTGCAGAAGAAGGTGCCAACGCCTGCCACCTGTGACAGAGGCTGTGACTGGCCCATCTCCATCTGGGGTAGTGGGATGAGCTCTGGACCAGGAGTCAGGAACTAGGAGGTCATAATCCAACTATCTTCTATTGTTGGAAAACAATAGCGTATTACACAGGACAGCTCCGGTTTCCAGGAGGAGTGGGGTTTTGTGTGTGTGCAGTGCGGCGTACAGACCAGTAGGGAGCCGATTTCCCAGGGGCGCACAGACTGTAGCAGAGCTGGACCTCGAGGAGGCTTAGGCTGTGGCCCCTGAGGCTCTGCCACTGAACGGGATTCAGTTTTTCTCTTCCTCTCTGCTTCTCTGTCTGTGGCCAGCCAGCTTTCCTCACCATCCACTCTCGGTATCATTTCTTGGTCCGTTCAGAGTTTCTACTGCTTCTGAGTTGTGGCATCTCGGTGGCTTTTTCTTCATCCGAGTTCCCGCTTCATTGTAACTGCTGTTCCCTTGTGGGGTAGTGCCCTTTCCCTCACAGTACCTAATCCCACTGCTCCGGCTACTTCCTGCCTCCTGTTTCTGTCTCTCGAAGCATGGAGTCCCACACACCTTCTGCTTCCTCGTAGCAGCTACTCTCTTAAAGGCTTTGCTCCGTCTCCGGGTGTGTCTGCTCCCTCCAGCCACTGCCCCCTCACAGTACCTTTTTCCTCACACGTTCTGCTTCCTCAGAACTCAGCCCGCTCACGGCCTCCATATCACCCGGCCCTCTCTCTCTGTCCGCTCTCGCATCTTCAGTTATCACTTCTCTTCACCGAGTTGTCTCTCTACTTCCTACTGATGCTTCTGAGTCAGAAACTGCTTGGTCCAGCTTGTTCTTATAAAAGCAGATCTCTTCCTACTGTGTCACCTCGTGGCCTCATAGTTTCCTGGCCAGCCTGTGGCCTGGCTGCTCTAGATCAGGTGCCCAGCCATGGTTCTGTCACCTGTGGGTGGGCTCATAAGGCCCAGAGCTTCCTCTCAGCTGGGACTGTGGGGAGGGCACTATGGCATACATGTGCGGAATCCCAGCTCTGTTACGAATTTGCTGGGTGACCTTGAGAAAGTTCCTGTACCCTCTGGGCCTTGCTTTCCCAGTTAGGAAGTGAGTGGGGCCCTTAGTCACTTTTCACCCCTGGCTTTAGCAGTTCTCTAGGACATGTCCAAACGCAAACGCCACATAACATTTTTGTGTGCCGCTGATTGGATGCAGGAGAATGTGTTTGGTGAAACTTGGCCCTCCCTGTCCATCTCTCCTTTCACATTTTTGAAACAGAGGACAGTTTCTGTATTACAAGGAAAACAGCAGCAGAGGATGATGGTAATTGGCAAGACCTTCAGTGTCAGAGCCTGGTGGGATCTGTGGAAAACAGCCAAGCCAACGTCCAAATAAAGGGAGCAGCTGTTACTCAGTCTCCCTGACTGTCCCCGTGTAGGAAAGCACGACTAGTTTTGCCAGATTTGCTGATTTTTTAAGAGAATCTGGAATTTATGAAATCTCCCTGATTTTAAACTTTGGCAGCTAACACTGGAAAACGAATACTATGTGGGCCCATCCAGTAGTGTTAAAACACATCTCTAGGTTGGATCTGGCCCATGGAGTGTAGCATCCTGCCTCAGCTGAGGGTTCTTTAAACTGGAGTTTTCAGTGTTGCCCAGTGGGTGGGGAGAGGGAATTCCACCCACACTGCCCATCCTTCGGCAACCAGTGGGCCCGTGCAGACTTGGCCGAAATGATGCTTTCTAGTACTCAACACCCATGTCTTACAGGCAGCCTTAGAGAGTGGTCAGTCAGTTTCCATGGAGAGAAAGTGACTTGATCAAGGTCACACAGCTAGTTAAAAAGAGACAGGAGGTGGAACCCAGACATCCAAGCCAACCTTGATTTTCTTATCTTACCCACTGTCTTCCATTCTTCTATGGATCTGAGTTGCACTTGCAACTCCCTTTATGGTCACTCAGCAAGTATTGATGCCCTGCCTACTATGTGCCAGGCACTGTGCTTGTGGTTGACGATGATGATGATGACGACGATGTTGATGATGATGATGACGATGTTGATGATGATGACGATGTTGTTGATGATGACAACGATGTTGATGATGATGACGATGTTGTTGATGATGATGATGACGATGTTGTTGATGATGACGATGTTGATGATGATGACGATGTTGTTGATGATGACGACAATGTTGATGATGATGACGATGTTGTTGATGATGATGATGACGATGTTGTTGATGATGATGACAATGATGTGGATGGTGATGTGGACGGTGAGGAGGAGGAAGAGGAGGTGGAGGGTGTCGTTGAGGAGGAGGAGGAAGATGGCCACCATGTGGATGATGACAGCTTCCATTTCCTCTTTGCCCAAAAAGCTCTTCCTCCAGATATCTCCAGAGAAGCCTTCTCTGACTACACCATCTATTAAAAGCACCCCTCCTTTGTCACTCTGTCCCTTTCCTGTATTTTCTTTTTCTTCATAGCACATACAGTGTCCCAACATTATACATTTATTGATTTATCACCTGCCTCACTTATTGGAATATAAGTTTTCCAGTGGGCGGGGTTTTCTCTGTTTTCACCACTCCCATATCCGCAGTGTCTAGAAGAGTGCTTGACACATGGTAGGTCCCCAATATACACTTGTTAAATAAATGACCGAGGACGTGCTCTGGGCCACATCCTGGGCTGAGCCCTTTGCATACATGGGCCCGTGTCATCTTCCCAGCTGGTCTCTGAGAAGGTACTGCTGCTCCCTTTCGCAGATAAGGACACTGAGCCTCAGAGAGGCAGAGCCACTAGCCCAAGTCACATAGCCGAACGGCAGAGCCAGGATTGAATTCTTTCTAGTTCAACCTCAAAGCCTGTGCTTTCAGCTCCTGCTCTAGAAGGCAGCTGGCATAACGTGGAAGTGAGAAATTTAGACAGTTAGAGGCTGCACGTATGAGAAATAGTGGCAAGGGCATGGTTGGATGGGAAAATAATAAAGGCAATAGCAGCTAACGTTAATTGCCATTACCATATGGTGAGCAGTCTTATAAGCACTCACCACTTAACTCACTTCACCTGCATTATATTAAACTCATCTCAGGGCCTTCTGCCTCCCCTGTCCGGCCCTGAAAAGTGAGTCACTTTACTTTTTCAGACCTTGGCTGTCTCTTTAATTAAATGCTATTTTATTGCCTGAAGGCAGAGGGCTGGGCCTCCTGACATCTCCAGCTGCCTCTTCGAGTTCTGGGCTTAAATCATACATTGTGTTTGGCCCAAGAATCCCCTGGCGGTTTGTGACATCAGAACCGCCTGGGTACACCCAAGGGCTGCAAATTATCTAGGGGAGGGCCTTTATTAAGTAGCTTTGATTGTCTTTATTATCCAATTATTAACTTTTGTTTTAGAAAACCACGGTGTACAATTTTGAAAAACACTGAAAAGGGGAAACAAAATATCAATGGGTACTAAACCAGGAACTGTCCTGACAGAGGGCGAACTGCTGTGAATGGGCCAGACCCATCCTCCTCCAGAGAGGCCGCTGGCAGCCCGCGGTGAAGAGTGCCAGTTCAGGAGTGCTTATTCGGCACCAGGCACTGGGCTGTGTGAGTTGAATATATTATTCGACAAGTACTTATGGAGTGACTTCCAGGTGTCAGTCAGGGACGCTGGGATACGGCTGCAAACTCAACAGAAACGTCCCTCCACTCACAGCTCCCTCGTTGCTTCATCAGTGCCCACGAGAACCCCCAGGTACGATTATTGTGTCGGGTATTGGCTGAGGATATGGGGGCTTAGAGGCAAGGTCACGTTTCAAGGGCACACAGGGAGCCAGGGTCCAGGAGGATGCTCTCAATGCAGGGATGACAAACTATAGCCCGTGGGCCAAATCGGGCTGCCACCCACTCTGTCAATAGAATTTCATGGAAACACTGCCACACCCACGTGTGTCCGTTTTGTCTGTGGCGCTTTCATGCTACCGTGGCAGCCTTGCTGCAACAGAGGCCTGCAAAGCCTAAATTAGTCACCCTCCAACTCGCTACAGAAGACATTTGCCGACCCCTTGTTCTAACTCCTGCAGACGTGGCTGCTTCTGAAGAAATACAAATCATCCTGTACTCCCGTGGACCAAACATTCCCTTGGTTTCTATTCTCCTGCATTTCCTTCCTCTTTTTTCCCTCCCTGTACACCTTCAGTTACAAAGAGGGCCTTTTCTCTTGTAAATGAGAGTGAAAATAGTACTTACCCAGAGGGGCTTGTCACGAGATTTAAAGGATGTTCTGCGTGTGGACTGCCCAGTTCCAGAAGATTCTCAAGCTGCATTCTGAGTAGAGCAGACACCCCAAATCAGACGCTGGAGCCAGATTGTGGCTTCCTGGAGACCCCTGAGTGTCCCCACCAAGATGGGGCTGCTGGGGCCGGTATCTCCTCCTCCGGCTGACTGTCCTGAATGTGTGTTGGGTCCCCTCCCTGCCCGGAGGGGAAGGGTGTCCCCTCCCAGGCTAAGTGTCTTCTCTCTGCCCAGCTCCCAACACAGAGACAGAGCCCTTGTTGACATGGAAGAAGGCTCAGGACACGGTGCCCTGGAACATCATCCTTCTCCTGGGAGGGGGCTTCGCCATGGCCAAAGGCTGTGAGGTAAGAGCAGCAGGCAGGCTGCAGCCTGGGGAGGTGAGTGCCGGTCCCGGGGCAGCCGCAGGTGCGAGAGCAGAGGCAGCAGACTACACGGGCGCCGTGGGCACCACAGATTCCCCATCTGCCACATGAGGGTCATCGTGGTTGACACCTCACAGCTCCCTGCTGTGCCTGGCGCTGCCCAGAAAGAGAGAAAAAAGGTACGATGTAGAATCTCAAGGAGCTTGCAATGAGCATTACACTAGTACTACTACTAATATGACTAGAGGGTCCTGTGGGCACAGAGGAGTAACACCCTAGCAGGCTCACCCTGTACCAGGCACTGTTCAACGTGCTTTACACATATCTCATTTAAACTTCCCAGCAAGCCTATGAGATAGATGCCATCGTTATCCCCATTCTATAGATTAGGAAACTGAGGCACAGGGAGGTAAAGTAACTTGCCTGAAGCCACACAGCTATGTACTCAGGATAAGAATCCAGGTAGTTTGGCTCTAGAGCCTATGCTCTTGACCGCTATGTTAGGTGTTGTGAATATTAATTACTTGGTGTTACTATTAATGTTATTCTAGAGGGCTCTGTGAGCACAGGGGCAGAGCTGGGACTAGACTGAGGCGAGTGAGGCACTGACAGAGCAGAATTTCCGAAGGCACACAGTCTCAGCACAGCCAGCCCTGCTCAGAGGAAGTGCAGCTTCAGTGTCCAACATGTGTCATAACATATTATCTCATTGAATCCTCACACTGGCTCTCAGGGTTGGGGAATATTTATTTTTTTATTTTTTTTTATTTTTGGCCATGTTGGGTCTTTGTTGCTGCACGCAGGCTTTCTCTAGTTGCAGCGAGCGGGGGCTACTCTTTGTTGCGGTGAGCAGGCTTCTCATCGCGGTAGCTTCTCTTGTTGCAGAGCACGGGATCTAGGTGCGTGGGCTCAGTAGTTGTGGCTCATGGGTTCTAGAGCGCAGGCTCAGTAGTTGTGGCGCACAGGCTTAGTTGCTCTGCAGCATGTGGGATCTTCCCGGACCAGGGCTCGAACCCATGTCCCCTGCACTGGCAGGCGGATTCTTAACCACTGCACCACCAGGGAAGTCCCGGGAATATTTTTATACCCATTTTCCAGGTAGAAAAACCGAGGCCTGGAAAAATGAAGCAATTCTCTTAAGGTCATACAGTTGCCCTCTGCTTAAGGGGTGGGGTTCGAACTCCAGTCCGTCTGATTTCAGAGTCCAGCCTCCTAACGGCTCAATCTTGAGAACTTCCCAAGTGCCAGGCACCTCAGGAAGCACTTTGCAAATACTGACTCTGTTAATCTTCAAAGACACAGTTGAAGTAGATACTGTTGCTGTCCTCATTTCCAAGATGAGGAAATGGAGGCAACTCGAGGCTAAACAAGTTGCCTACTTTTGTGCAGCTAGAAGGCAGAGCTGGGATTTGAACCCACAGCTTATGAAGCTGGGCCCCACCCCACCCCCCTAAATTTCTCCATGTAAGCCGAGGTATGAGAGGCCACAGCCAGTTAAGGGTCAAATGGGAAATTAAGGTAAAGGAAACCTGAAATTACTTCTCAAATTGCTTACTTTTTAAAATTCGGTTTTGTGTTTGCACGGCAGAAATAGAGACACAGATGTAGAGAACAAACGTATGGACACCAAGGGGGTAAAGTGGGGTGGGAGGGTGGGAGTGGTGGGATGAACTGGGAGATTGGGATTGGCATATATACACTAATATGTATAAAATAGATAACTAATAAGAACCTGCTGTATAAAAATAAATAAAGTTCAAAAAAAAAGAAAGGAAAATTCAGTTTTTTAAAAAATTTATTTTATTGAAATAAAGTTGATTTACAATGCTGTGTTAGTTTCTGCTGTACAGCAAATTGATTGTTTTATATATATATACACATTCATTTTCAAATTCTTTCCATTATGGTTTATTACTGGATATTGAATATAGTTCCCTATGCTACACAGTAGGACCTTGTTGTTTATCCATTCTCTATATAATAATTTGCATCTTCTAATCCTAACCTCCCAATCCATCCTTCCACCACCCCTCTCCCCCTTGGCAACAAGTCTGTTCTCTATGTCTGTGAGTCTGTTTCTGTTTTGTAAATAAGTTCCTTGTGTGTCATATTTTAGATTCCAAATATAAGTGATATCGTATGATATTTGTCTTTCTCTTTCTGACTTCCTTCACTTAGCATGATAATCTCTAGGTCCATCCATGTTGCTGCAAATGGCATTATAAAATTCAGTTTTAATTATCAGTTTCAAATAGTGTTACGGAAACCCAGGCTTGGGATCTGAGTACCTGGATTCAAATCCGAGCTATCCTACTCCTTGCTGGGGCCCTTTAGGCAAGTTCCTTAACTCCTCTGGGCACCAGTTTTCTCAGCTATGAATGGGCTTGAAGTTCTTACTCTATGGGGTTGTTGGGAGTAATTAAAGAAGAGAGTAAATGAAGGGATACACCGCTAATAGGAGCCAAGAGCTCCCTGTGTGTTCTCTTGAAACATTCACTCCATGGTGATTGCGGGTTCAGCTTCCAGGAGGCTGACTCTGAGGCGGGGATTAGTGAGCAGGCATTAGGCTGTGCCCTGTGAAAGGGAGGGAAGGAAGCAGGAGAGGTGGGGAGACTCCGCCCCAGGAGTGGTATAACCTCGGGCAGGACAACTTCCGGTCTGAGCCGGTCCCTCAGGGGCTGACAGTGAAGTCCGTCTGCTGCCCGCACTCCCTGCGCTAGGGCAAAAGGCCTTCAGAGCCCCGAGAGCGGAACCATCACGCTATGGACCCCACACCAAGGCCACACTGAAGGGGGACCGGGGGGCACATCCAGCTTCTCTACATAGCTACTCTTTTTATGTGAAATGTGTTTTTATTTTGTTCATTTTTTTCAATAAATGACACATACAAAGGTACAGACTTCAAAAGGAACAAAAAGGTGGATGAACAAAAGTACTGTTTTTGTCTCCATTTTAGGAATCCTGAGGACCAGAGAGGTTAAGTGACTCATGCTAGGGAACACAGCTCATAGGTAACAGAGCTGGGCTTTGAACTTGCATCTGTCTGACTCTTCTCACTATTCTCACTATTGCCTCCTACTGGGGATGTATCAGGGAAGGCTTCTGGGAGGAAGTGGCATGTTAGCCATGGCCTTGAGGAGGCCATGCAATGCAATGGTAGAAAGCATGGGTGGTGGACCCAGACCATCTGGGTTGGAGTCAATCTTTCACCTCTGAGCTGTGTGCCTCCATTTCCTAATCTGTAAAATGGGCATAATAATGGTGCCCATCTCATAGAGTTGTTACACTTATTAAGTGAATTAATACATGTGGAGAACTTAGAACATAGCCAGACATAATTGTTTATTATGATTAGATATTACGGAAAAGGGGAGGTTCTTGCCCTGAGCAACTCGGTGGAAATGATGCCATTTATCGAGATGATATGAACCTCGCCTCATGCTGAGCCTGACCTGCACCCCAAAGGCTTCTCCAAGCTCAGGGAGTGGTGGACAAAGACTGGCTCTCAGTGGGCCTGGCTGCAGGACCACTGAGCATGCCGGGAGGCCAGTCTGGCTCCTGGCCCAGCCTTGGGCAGCTGGCCGCGGTTTCTGTTCAAAAAGGACTTTGTGTGACAGCTGCTCCCTCCCCCAACCCCTGCTCGTACCATCCCCCCCACAGGCGGCCTGCTGCAGGAGGGACCAGAGTGCTCAGGGCATGTCCTGCTTCCTAGCCCTGCCCAGTGCCCTCGCCAGGTCACAGCCAGGCCTCCTGGGGCTTAGAGGCCTTTGCACTGGGACTGGACTCCCACCTGCTGGTTCTGAAGGGCTGGAAGCAGATCCCAGTGCTTGCTCTGAGCTTGACCACTTGATGTCCTCACTGCCGGTTTCTCCTGCTGCAAAACTGCCCATATAATTAGACTCTAGTCTGATGGCTTGACTTGGCCTACACACGACAGCCCCTGCCTACCTTCCTGATGTCAGCTCTTACCTCCATCCCCTCGTGGGCTCCCCTCCAGTCCCATTGGCCCCTTAAAGTTCCTCAACCACACGACTCATTTGCACCCCAGGACCTTTGCATCTGCTTTCTCTCTGCCAAATGCTCTTGCCTGAGATCTCTGTGTCCTGACCCTCAGGTCTCGGCTCCAAGGTCACGTCCTCAGAGAGACCATCCCTGACCACCCTGTCTAAAGTAGCATCTGCCCTTCACAGTCACTCTCCCTCTTATCACCCCACTTATTTCCTTTACACCATACCTACCCCCAAGTTATCCTGTTCATTTGTTTGTTTATTGGTATCTCTGTTACTAGAATGTAAGCTCCACAAGGGCAGGGACCATACCTGTCTTATCCCTTGCTGTTCTAAGCATCTAGAAAAGTCCTAGTACATAACATGATCGTGTAATAAATATTTGTTGGACAAGACCTACAATATGGGCTGTTTTGAGGACTGATGACATGATGGATGGCAAGTACCTAGCAGAGGGCTGATACAGACCAGGTGTTAAAACCAGCAGCCTATGTCAACCTCACCACTTTCCTTGTTATTATAATTTTACTGTCTCATAAAAAAAGGTCTTATTCTGACACCTTCACTTATATCTCTTTTAATCTCTACCCACAATAAACTTATCTACAAATATATTCAGTGATACAAGCTTGGTATTAAATCAGGGTGGAACAGACCCTATAGGCAAGTAGAAACGTGTGTATTCTCCTGAATCCCTCATTTCCTGCTGGAGAGTTATCTTATTATTATTGTTGTTGCTGTTGTTGTTATTTTATTGACAAGGTAGACTGATGAAGTAAGAGCCAGATCCTGGGCTCAAAATTCCAAACTTAATTGACTTATCTGGGCAAATCACAACCTCTTTGTGCCTCAGTTTCTTCAACCATAAAATACAGATAATTATACTACTTACTTCATGGAGTTGTTTCGAAGATTAATAAGTTAACATTAACAAAATACTTAGAAGAGTGCCCAGCACAGAGTGAGCACTATATTAAGTGTTTGTTAAGTTAAATAAATAATAATAAGCCCTATTCAGTACTTACTGTATAGAGGAATCATTTCTACCTGTACTCATTTAAGCCTCACCACAATCCCTTGAAGAAATCAAGGAACAGAGACGTTCATTAATTTGCCCAATGCCACACAGCTTGTAAGTATTACAGTGGTTTGAATGTTCACACATGTGCATAAAGTCTTCCTCCTTTCCTTTAATCAAATTGACTGGCTCTCTCTACCTAAGAATTCTTATACAGAGTTGTACACACACAGCTGAGCCTATTGTGTTTTATGAGGATTTTAAAGAGATTTTCAAGGGTTTTCTATTGAGATTTCAACTTTTTAAAAAAGAATTATTTATTATTTATTTATGGCTGCGTTGGGTCTTCATGGCTGCGTTGGGTCTTCATTGCTGCGTGCGGGCTTTCTCTAGTCGCAGCGAGCGGGGGCTACTACTCTTCGTTGCGGTGCGCGGGCTTCTCATTGCGGTGGCTTCCCTTGTTGCGGAGCCGGGCTCTAGGCGCACGGGCTCAGTAGTCGTGGCTCACAGGCTCTAGATCGCAGGCTCAGTAGTTGTGGCTGGCGGCTCTAGAGCGCATGCTCAGTAGCTGTGGCACACGGACTTAAGTTGCTCCGCGGCATGTGGGATCTTCCCGGACCAGTGATCGAACCCGTGGCCCCTGCATTGGCGGGCGGATTCTTATCCACTGCGCCACCAGGGAAATCCCAGAGATTTTAACTTTAAACATTCCACTTGTACCATAACACCCTCCTTTAAGATCTGACCCTACTATATGTCAGAGAGATCAGGGAGAGAGGACCTCCTGGAAATGGGAAAGGAGGAGGAAGAGGGGGCAGCTCAGCCTCTCCCTCCCATCCTGCGATGTGGCCTCAGGTACCTCTTGGCAACTGTGGGGGCTATAAGGAGCACAGTTTGACAACCACAGCCTGGGGCAATTTCTGAGTGTTCCGCCACCTCTGACATCTCGTGACTTGATGCCACCAATGGCAGCTGGCATGTTTTGGGCACTTGCCCGGTGCCCAAGCACTTTTCTAAGTGCTTTACAGATTAGCTCCTTTTATCCCAACAATAAGCCTCTGGGACAGGGACTGGTACATCTCAGTTTACAGAAAAGGAAGTGAGGCACAGAGAGGTTAAGTTACTTGCCCAGGATGACACAGCTAGAATGGATTAAGGTTGGGGGACAAACTTAATCTGATTCCAGAGCCCTTGTCCTCACCCCCTGGGCATGCTGCCTCTGACCTTGCCTGTTGTTGGTCCTGGAGTCCCTGGGAAAACCATGTGGCTGTGTGTTTCCAAGGAAACAGAGCTTCTGATTCGAAGGGAATGGGAAAGGGCAGGTGAAGCCCGTTCGAGTCCCCTTGAGAGCAGCTGGGGGGTCTCCTCTCTCTGGAAGCTGCCAGGCCTCCCTCCGGCTACGGAAGCTGAGCCAGGGCCCTGAGTGGCTGCTGGGATGCTGGCTGGAAGCCTGGCACCCAGAGGCCCGGCTACAGGGAAGCTCTTGGCTTCTCATTCATCCAATTCATTAATATTCCCTCTCTCCAGCCGCTCTCCATTTAATTGCACACACACTGTCGGTCTCTTTGCCAGAGCTGTGGCCTCTGGGAAGAACTAGTGGACCCATTTTTCCCTGCAGTGTTCCCTGGGCCAGAGGAGGGGCTGGGGCTCGACTCTGCCATATACTATAATTTCTAAGCTATCAAACAGTGCAGATATGAAAGAACACCTTAATTTTATAAGGTCTCTTCTAGGGAAAACTAGCATGTATTATTCATTCCTTGAAGGTAACTTTTAAGTCATATCGTAGCGACAGATGTATTATTTTATTTATGTAAAAACAGAATACTGCATTCTAGAATCCACTATGAAAGCTTAATTTCTGGAATAAGCAGCAAATTTTCTATTAAATACAAAAGAGCATAAATTGTCTCCGATAAACCGGAGTTTGTTGGTACCAAAAGATACTGCGTAGACATACAAGTGTATGTCTACCATAAAAGGGCTATGGTAGACATACACTTGATTCTAAATGTTAGGGGTCTAATCCAACTCTGCCCTTGATCAGCTCCTAAGCCTACAGCTTTGTTATCTTTGTTAAGAAAACGACCTACAGGCAGCGCCCTTGCAGCTTTAATGAGATATTACTGCATGGCACCACCAGGGGGCAGCATCGAGCACAATTTTACATCAGTTTTTCCTCTTTGGGGTTTTAATGAAGGTGCATTGGATTCCGGGTTGTTAAGGATACATTTGAAGTGGTGAGGACAGAGGTGGGGGAGAGTATCATTATTAAATACTCGTAAGTACAGTAATGCCTGGAGAACTCAGCAGAGAGAGAGCTCGGAGGTAATTCTGTAGCGTTGGTGGCAGGTGTAGTCTGGAGCCAGGGAGGAGACAATCGACCTTGTCTTTTTTCTGTCCTGGAGGGCAGTGGTCCGCTCTGGGCAATGCCCTTCATTAAGAGGTGCAGTGACAGTCTGGTGTATCCAGTGGAGGGTGCCCAGTGACAAGGAACTTTGCAGGAGAATGTTAGTTTACTGACGTACGTGGCCCTGAGTGCAAAATACATCTTAGTCACTATTTTGGGGACCTAGAGCAAATCACAAAAACTTTGCCAAGTTAGGGTTCCTTCTCTGTAACACAGGGAGGAATGCTTACCTTGCTGGATGGTTGGGAAGAGTCAGGGAGGTAATGCAGGCAGGCGCCTGGCACCCTGTAAAGCCTCAATGATGGTGATTCTTATGATAAGGAATAATATGTTAATAATGTTAGTGTTTGTGGTACCACCATTGTAATACTCATTATAAATATCTTTATTATTGATAATCCCATTCATTGTGTTGTATTTGATATATATCTGACACGTTTCCTATTATATATGATATATATAATATCTTGTATATATTATATATTTGGTATGTATTAATACATAATAATTATAAAATTAATATTGAATATTTTGTATAAATGTGTTAATATTTTTGTAATTAGCAACCATCACTGGAGGAATGAGAAGATTTAGCATGCAGGGTCCAGTTCCCCTCTCCCACTCAAGCTTAGGGGGTCCCACAACCAAATGGATTATTTGGAGAACCAGATGGATTATTTGAGGATCCAGGGGTTTGGGCCCTGGGCCTGTAGAGTATGGAGTACAGAGCAGCTCAGGAAGCAGAGAAGCTGGCTGAAGTCCAGGCTGGAATATGTGACCTTGAGCAGGTGACTTACCCTCTCTGAACCTCAGTCAACCCGTATGTGAAAGAGTGTAGTTGCCATCGCTGTGGCCAACCCTAACCCTCCCGCCTTGGCCCAGACTCGGCGGTGGGGGGGGGGGGGGCAGCTGTTGGAGGGCGGAGGGGTGAAGAGGTGTCCTTGCTTCCTCCCCTCTGCAGGAGTCGGGGCTATCCGCGTGGATTGGTGGGCAGCTGCACCCCCTGGAGAAGGTGCCACCGGCGCTGGCCGTGCTGCTCATCACTGTGGTTGTCGCCTTCTTCACGGAGTTTGCCAGCAACACGGCCACTATCATCATCTTCCTGCCTGTCCTGGCGGAGCTGGTGAGGGTCCATATAGGGTCCTGGGGCGGGAGGGAAACACCTCTCCCCAACACACGTTCAGAAATCTCTTTCTCGCTCCTGGGAACTCCACCAGGAGCCACAGCTGGTCATTGCTCTCGTCCAAAATGCATGATAGCGTCAGAACCATGATATATATATTTTAAAAGAATACTGTTTTTTTCTTTAAGAACTGCATAAACAGAGTAAATATTTTCCAAATGCACCAAATTCCCTCCTGTGGGAAAAGTCACCCATGGTGACATGGAGAGTTTTCTAGGAAAATAGGAATTGCCAAATATGGATTAAGAAGAAGTAGAAAATCTGAGTGGACAGATAACCTTAGGAGAAATTCTAACGGTAGGCAAAGCTCTAGCCTCCCTCTAAAGCAGGGTTTCTCAGCACTATTGACATTTTGGGCCAGAGAATTCTGTTATGTGAAGCCATCCTGTGAATTGTAGGACGTTTAGCAGCATCCCTGTTCTCTACGTACTGGATACCAAAGGCATCCCCCCTAAATTGTGACAATCCAGAATGTCTCTAGACATTGCCACATGTCTCCTGGGGAGACAAAATTATCCCCGGTTGAGAATCACTGCTCTACAGATCACTAGCCCCAGAGGGATGTCTGAGGTGAGAGCTAGCAAACCTTCAAGGAACAGATAGTCCCCACTTACCCGCAGTGTTCCAGAGCACAGAAAGATCGAGAAAGCTGTGCAATCAAGGTACAAGGTTAGCAAAACCCTGACACCAAAAACAGAAGGAGAGCAAAGGAAAAGAAAGTTATAACTCAATGTCGCATGTAAACAAGGATGCGAGTAACAAAATGGATCCAAGGTCATATGAATTCTACTAGAAATTTCAAAACTGATTAACAGACACCACCAGTATAGTTTTATATTTAAATAGACTAAAGAAGACCAAACCATATGATTATCTCAATATAGACCAAAGTGATCAGATTAAATCGATGTTGCAAGTATATGCTTTGTATGCAAACAGTGATATGCCAGGCACACTCTCTGAATCACTTTTTGCTTTTTATTTATTTATGCATCAATTTATAATGGATATCACACTGTATTAGCACACACAGATACACTTTACTCTTTCTCAATGACTAGAGAATATTCCATTATGAATCCATAGTTGCTGATTTTATTTAAGCAATCTTCTACTGATGAACACAGAGGTTGTTTCCAGCCTCTGCTATTTCCCAGCAATGCTGCCTTGGCCTCTCCTTGTCTGAGCACCTTTTTATACGTAGATACATCTAGATCTCCAGAACTGAGATCCCTGGGTGAAAGAGCACGTGCATTTACAATTTTGTAAGAGATGGACAAATTGCCCTCCCAAGTGTGGGCGTGCCATTTCCACCCCCACCAGCAGTGTGGGGTAGGGGTCCCCGTAGCCCTGCTAAATGTGATTGGATTTAATCACACCCTTCCCCAGGATCTGAGAGATGGGGGTGCTCTGCGGGGGAGGAGGGAGAGCAGACCCAGTCATGTCTGCAGGGGCAGCTTTTGCTGAAGAAGATACTAGCAAATGATTTATTCTTCTAAACGTTGCTTATCATCAAAATCAAAACATTTTACATGCAAGGGGGTGATCTTAGTGCTTTTTGAGAAAATGTATATGCTTTGGTTTACAAAAATTCCCTAGAGGGGCCAAAAATCCTTACCTTAAAATAAAATGCTGGCGAAGTGATCAACATGAGTTACAGGTGGACGTGTCATTTGGGGGAGGTGATGAACCGGTGGTCTGCTAACTGAAGCCAACCCACAGACACCTTTGATCCACACGGTCTTAGAAATCTGGAAATGAGTGCCGACGGTGCTACCGTGAGCTCTCTTTATCTCTGAAATCCAGTGAGGCCCCAACAAAAGGTACCCAGAGGCCAGCTGTTTGGATCGTTAGGCTGAGAGAAGGCCCAGGCAGGGGACTTGAGGCTTTTTAGAGCCGTGATTCTCAAGATGTGGTCTCTGGACCAGAAGCATCAGCATCACCTGGGGGCTTGTTAGAAATGCAAATTCTTGGGGCCCCCTCTGCCCTAGACCTGCTGACCCAGCAACTCTGCAAGAGGTGGCGCGAGCGCTCTGGGGTTTAACAAGCCCTCCAGGTGATTCTGATACGCACTCCAGTTGGAAGAGGGAGTGTTCTAGAATAATCTCCCCAGCCCATCCTCCCTGATGAACCTGCATGTGCTTGGAATGTCGCTAACCTAGGAATGTTCTCTCCATATCTCCCTCGGTCTGGTTCTCTTCTTGTCTGTCTGTCTCTATGTCTGCCTGTGTGTCCGTTCTGGCCTCATTTCTCTCTGTGTGTCTTTAAATCCATCTTCCCATTTGTTTCTCTCGTTCTCTCTCCCTCGCCAATCTCTCTCCATGCATCTCTGTGTCTCCACCTGTCTCCATCTCCCGTGTGGTTTCTCTGTGTTTCTCGGTCTCGGTCTGTCCCGCCCCTGCTGGCCCAGGCCATCCGTCTGAGGGTGCACCCCCTGTATCTGATGATCCCCGGCACAGTCGGCTGCTCCTATGCCTTCATGCTTCCAGTCTCGACACCCCCCAACTCAATCGCCTTCGCCTCTGGACACTTGCTGGTCAAAGACATGGTGAGTCTGGGCATTTTCTAGCAGAGGTCCAGGGAGGTGGGTGGACGCCAGGGGTGGGCAAGGCAGCAAGGCAGGACCTGTGCTTCCCCCAACATCCCGCAATTTCTGAATAGGTCCTTCCGAGTGGGACCAGAAATATACCTTTTAGCAAACACTCTGAGATGATTCTTATTCTTAGTCAACTTCAGGAAGCACTGCCTCGGCGACTACTTTCCAAAGTTTGCTTCAGAGACGAGGGGCTTCCCCTCTCTCTGGGCAGCGCCCTGTCTTCTGACTTGTTTGGCCAAGCGCTCTGTGCCCGGTGGCAGCGTCTCTAGGAGAGGAGCAGCGGACCACACCTGGGACTTAGGGCCGGGCCTCGGTGCCCAGCCTGCTGGAGAGGAGACAGAGGCCGAGGGTCGTGGCAGTGGCGGGGGACCTCCAGCTTTCGGCAGGGCCCCCCCCCCCCCAAGGCTCCCCTGCTAAACCGGCTCCTGTCCCCTCTTCTGCCTGCTTCCTGCTGCCCTTCCCCCTCCACTGGCTGCCTGGGGTGTCTGCACCATGGGTGCTCAGGGACCTAAGCTTCGGGGTCCTAAGCTGGTACAACTGAGATGGGGGAATCTGCTTAACCAGTCCTCAACCCACGCAGGCTCTCCAGGCACAGAGTTCCCCCAGGACAGATGGAGACAGTGAGAGGCAGAAAGAGATCACAGAGCAAAGAGACAGCAGGGACCCAGGCAGACAGACTTTCATCCACTGTGGGTTCATTCACTGCACAGCTATTTGCTGAGCACATTCCATGTTCTGGGCAGGGGGTTGAGCAGTGTAGGGGAGACACAGGCCTGCCTCTAAGGAGGTTGCCTTCTATGAGGGAGACAGTAAATGAAAAGCAGAGGGTATGTTTACTGATCAAAGCAGATTATTTTTAGGTTGTGTGATCCTGGGTGAGCCCAATTCTCTGAGCCTCATTTTCCTCTTCTGTAAAATGGGAATAATGATGATGATGATAATAGCCCTCACAGGGTTGCTTTCAGGGTAAATTACATAGCTCTGTGACAACTGCATGGCACAGTGCCTGGCACCTAGAAACCACTCAGTGAATGGGGACATTCTCAGCTCCTTGAGGGTCAGCCTAAGGCGTGTAAAGACGGAAGGGTCTTGGGTATCGGCCAGCCTGGGTTTGTGTCTGGCCCCATCACTTCCCAGCTGTGCAGTCTTGGGTGAAGGGCTTTCTGACTCTGAGCCTGGGCTTTTCCAGCTGTATAATGGGCCTCGAGCAGACCCCCCTCACCCTGGGCTCCATTGCAGGCGCGGACGGGACTCCTGATGAACGTGATGGGCGTCCTGCTGCTCAGCCTGGCCATGAATACTTGGGCACAGACCATCTTCCAGCTGGGCACCTTCCCGGACTGGGCCAACATCCACCTAAGCAATGTCACAGCACTGCCATCCACCTTGGCCAATGACACATTTCAGACCCTCTGAGTCCCCCTCAGGTACTCTCTTCGGGCTGGGCCCTCATCTGCTGCCAGGACCCCACAGGATGATCAAGCAATTCTTCTCTGTGATCCAGCACGCAGCAAGCGAGGGTGACTTCCAGGGGTCCACTTGGGTCCACAGTCTCGTTATCTAGGATACCTTCTCCTCTGTCATGCAGTTCAGGGTGCAGCTACCTCCCAGATCTGCTGCCTGAGCAACAAGCTCCTTTATCTCTGAGCTGTTCTGTGGTTAGGATGCAAGAAAGCCCAATTTCAGCAACAAGAAGCAAATCTGGAATGGCGTTTGTCTTGAATAGGTAGGGTGGGAAGCACAGCTAGCATCCCTCGCTGACTACACGGGTTACCATCTGGAGAGACCATCTTGCCTTTAGAGATCACCTTCCTTCAAGAGACTCTGGGGCTGCTGTGTCCCAGTCCAGCTGTTCCAGCTGTTCACAGCTGGTGTGCGCTCTGCTTGGTGGGGGCCAATTCTCTGCCAGTTATTCAAATATCACCCCTGCTGATACCCAGCAGCCAGGGGTATTTTCAATCCCTGGAGACAGGGGGAGGGACAGATGACATCCTGAGGACATGGAGATCGTGCAAAGCCTCCTTGCTGCTTCTCCGGGCTCCCGAGCGCACAAGAGGAGTTCTAGACCTTTCTACCCAAGCTTATTAGGATTTTCCTGTTCAGTCTGATTCAGTGTGGCCACAGTTCCAGGGTCAGGCCAAGTCTGGGCCATGCCCTCTCACAGGTGACCCATGGCCCCTCCAGCCAGGCCCCTTCCGCACGTGGCCCACAAGGGCCTTCGTGACTGCAGGCTTCTTCTTCCAGGAGCTGGTCTTTACCTCCCTGCCCCGACCCGAAGCGGTAAGCATGTTTGATTAGCAAAGGCCACATTTTTCAGGGGTGAGAGAAAAGTCAAAAGATAAATTGGGGCCTTGTAAGCGGTCAGATGTCTCAGGCAGGGAAACACCATAATCCTCTTCTACAGACGAGGACAACTTAAGACTTCCCCTGAGCCAGTGGCTGGTGGGGCCTGTCCTAGAGGATCTGATCCCTCCTTGCTTCAAGTAGGAACATCTCGAAAAGGCACCGGCTGAGGGGCCCAGAAAGCTCACCTCCCCGACTTCCTACGCCTCTGAGGGATGAGGTTCCCCAAGCAGCTCGGGCTGGGAAGCAGCACCCAGGGACTGAACTTGTTCTTGAAACAGCACAAGTGAGTCATGGATGTTCCCCTGGGAGCAGTGGGGAGGAGGGAGAATGGGCTCCCTGTCCTTCCCGTGGGGTTACTTCAACATTTAGTCAGTTACAGCCCTTTGGGGTGGGGCGTGCACTTCTATTGGATGGGGCAGTGGAGAAATTCATTCACAGAGAAACCCAAGGGGCTTATAACCGGATGAATCGTGATTTCAGATACTTCTGATTGAAAATTCTATAAAATAAAGAATGTTAATCAACCCTGGGCCTGGAGATTATTTGCCTTTGTGGCCATAAAAGAGCTTCAAAGCCCTAAGTTCTGGAACTGGGGGCTTCACAGAATTGACCTCCCTGACCTCACTTCCTTACTGCTCTCCCCTCTCCACTCTACTCCAGCCACATACTCAAACTCTCCTGCCTCTGGGCCTTTGCACACGCTGTTTCCGTTACCTAGAACACTTTGCTCCCAAATCTATGCTTGTTCCTCACTTTATTCAGGTCTCTGCTCAAATGTCACCTCCCCAGAGAAGCCTCCCTGACCATCAAGTCTAAAATATCACCCTCATTACTTTTTATCCCCTTATCCTGCTATATTTTTCTCCTTAATATTTAGTCAGGACACTGTATTATTTACTTTCTTGTTTATTAACTTTCTCTCCCTCTAGAAAATAAACCTATGAGAATACAAACTTTATTTTGTTCAGTGTTGTAACTCCAGTTCCTAGAACAGTTTCTGGCACATAGTAGATGCTTAGTAAACATTTGATAAGTAAATCTATACTAGAATTTATGAGAAAGCAAACTCACTCTTCAATCTGGGGTCTGTTTGGCTCATTTCTTTATTCACTCATTCTTCCATTTATTCATTCAACAGTATTTATGTAGAATCTGTTACGTGCTAGTCCACTGTCCCCAGCCACATGGAAATTAGCCCTGGAGACAGGCAGTAAGCAGGTAAACAAATAGGTAAAGTGACTCTGGGTCATAATGTGGGCTAAGAAGAAAATGAAACTGGCCAATGTGAGAAATCTATGGCTATGTTAGCTACAAAGGCTATGTTAGCCAGGGTGGTCAGGGAGGACTTCTCTGAGGAGGCGGCCCTGGGCTGAGACCAGTAGGAGTCAGCCATGTGCTCAAGGTGGTGGGAGGAAAGGAGATGGCAGGGGTGGTACAGAGTTGTTAGAAATTTACCAAGGACTCATCTGGAATACACAAGGAATACCCAGAAGCCAGAAGAGACAAAAACAAAACACTTACCTGAGGCTGCATAACAAATCATCCCAAAGTTCAGGGCCTTAAAACACAACACATTTCTGCACTTGGTCAGAGTTCTGCAGGCCTGGTTTTGTCTCTGCTGTACATGGTGTGGCTGGGGCCACTCAGCTGGGGGTTTAGCTGGCACTGGAAAGTCCATGGTGGCTGTGGACCCTCCAGGGTCACGTGGCTTCTCCAGGAGTCCAGCCTGGACCTCTGTACGTGGCAGTGGGCTTCTCAGAAGGCAAAAGCAGAAGCTACAAGTCCCCTTAAGGCGTGGGCTTGGGAGTCCAAGAACGAACGTCAATTCTGCCACATTGTATTGGTCACATCAGGTCACAGGGTTAGCCTGGTTCAAGGGGAGGGAAATAACTCCGCTCCTTAATGGGAGGAGTGCCATCCACATACAGGGCAGAAGATGGCTAGCCACCAACTTCGGAAGCCTTCCACCGTAACACCCAAGAGAAAATTGGGTGAAAGTTACGAATATGCCGTTCTGAAAAGGGATATGTGAGTGGCCAGCGGGTTTAGAAAGAGATGCTCAGACCACTTGTAATCAGGTAGGTGCAAGTTAAGCCACGGTTCAACAACATGCCAACCAGACTGACGAAAACTAGAAAAGTGGACAGTGAGTGATGGTGAAATGCGAGGACACAGAAACCCTTGTTTTCTGTTGGCGAGACAACTATTACCGTCAGCCTGGCAAGCAACTTGGTAGTAATTGGGGATTCATTGTCTGCGTTCCTATGGCCCATCCTGTTCTTGGGCTTATATCCCAGCAAAACTATCCCATGGGTCCCTAAGGAGACAATGTAGGAGGATATTCATGCCACAGTTGTCTGAGGTACCAAGGAGCTGGAGGCCACCAAGGTGACCATCACTGGGGAAGAGGGGCATTTAAATAAAACATGGAGGAAGCACACCGTGGAAACATGGCCACAAGCAGACGCGATGAAATGTGGAGTGATAGCATGGACACGGACAGACTCTGGCACGAACGTCAAAGAGAAGCGCAGGATCATGTGGGCAGAGGAATGGAAGCTGTGAGGGTAAATGGGGGAAAAAGGTGAATAAAACTCACTCCTCGTTGAGCGAGGAGTTCAGTAAGCTGCATTGGACAGCCGGCTCCACCCATAACATCTGTATGACCTTAAGCAGGCCCTTTACTGTTTGGACTTTGGTTTCCCCATCTGAGAGATGAGGGTCTAGTTACAAGGTGTGGGCAGGTGGTCACTTATGGAAACCACAAGAGAAAGCATAGACCCTGGTGGTGAGAGGAAGGGCTTAGTCATGGAGAAGCACCTCTCAGCCCGGGGTCTGCAGGACAGCTGCTAACCTGGAGCTGGCAACTTTAGTCCAGGGACACATCCAGCCCTTGATGACTTCACAGGGAAGTAGCTGCCCTGGGTCTTCCTTCCCTCTCTCTCTCTCAGCTCTCCTGCTGGGGCTCCCCAATGGGCAAACACAGCTGTATTGATGAGGGTTCTCCAGAGAAACCGAACCAACAAGATGTGTACGTGTGGAAAGAGTTGCAGTTCGAGCCCAAAGGCAGCCTGCTAGCAGAATTCCCTCTTGCTCAGGTGAAGTTGGCCTTTTGTTCTTTTCAGGCCATCAACTGATTAAATGAGGCCCACCACATTATGGAGAGCAATCTGCTTTATTAAAACTCCATTGATTTAAATGTAAATCTCATGTGGAAACACCCTCACAGAAAGATCCAGAATAATGTTTGATCAAATATCTGGATACCATGGCCCAACCAAGTTGACACATGAAATTAACCGTCATACCAACAGAAGCCAGAATGTAAGGGAGTCCTTTGATGCAGCCAATCCAGGTCCTCCTTTATCATTTTTTTGTATTAATTACATGTTAAAAGGATAATATTTTGGATGCATTAGGTTGAATAAAATATTTTATTAAAATTATTTTCACTTTTTAAATGTGACCACTAGAAATTTAAAAACTTTCTATGTGACTCACATCATTTCTCTAAGAGAGCACTGCCTATCCGATAAGACTCTAGCCACCTCTCCACATTCTGAAGCCAACTGGACGGTGGCAACATTCTACCCCCACAAGCTGTAAACTTCAATGACTCTAATATTCTATGGACCTCTGATTGTGATTCTAGAACTGAAGACTTACCACTTCCTCTTCATGTTCTGTCTTATGGCTCTGAATCCTCCACCCAGAATTCCGCTCAACAAAGCTCATTCTAGTTTTGATGATTCAGACACTCCTTCCGGATGCTGTGGGCTTAGGCTCAGGCCAGCCTTATATAGGCAGAAGTGACTGCCTGTATGTGCTGAGAAAAGCCAAAAATATCTTCTGCCCTTTCCCTCCCTATGCTCACATCCTCCCAGATCTTATGCATCCACTAGAGGCCCTGGGGAAATGACCAACATGTTCCTTAACCAATCAGCTCCCTCGTGCCAGTGCAGTAACTAAGCAAATGCCGGTGTTTTCCAGGACTTTTCCCTCCAACCAGCACAATGCCCTGAAGTTTCCTGTGTGATGGGACCCAGGCCACGGGATCTGGTCCAGTGGGCATCATAGAGGCCTGTAAGATCTGATCTGAGAAGCCTGGGGCTCACTCAGGCCAAACTATCAGTCCAGGTTGGAAAGAGCTGGCCTGGAGCATTTATATATTGTTTACTGGGCACTGAACATACATTATCACATTGAATTCTCAACCCTAAGAAGCACGTACTAGTATTCTCCTCATTATAGCAGAGTACATCCAAGTTCAGAGAGGGACAGTGTCTTTCCCAAGGTCACACAGCACAGTAAGTGGCATAGCTGGCCTTTGAGTGAAGTCTGCCACCTCCACCCCAGGGACCCTGCAGATCAGAGGAACAGCTAGACTGCTCCCTGCATCAGTCCTACTGAGGCCTCTGTCAGAACTTGTAAACTGGTGGCCTTTATGCTGGCTTTGGCCCACAGACCTACCAAGACTGGCCTGCACAAGGGTCTTTCACTTTTTAAAAATACTGGCTTTTGAAACTTGGAGGCTTCTACATAAAATTGGGAATGACTGGCATCTTTGGAAAAACTGGCCACCCTGGTAATGTCGGGCCTCATTTTGGAGGGGCTTCAACCCCTAGCTGGAGCGGAGTGGAAGCCACCCTTTTCGAAGGGCCTCCACATGGCAGTTCACCGCTGTTTCCACCTGGCCCTCTGCTCCTTACCTTAGGTGGCCCCTGCAGGTGCCTGCATTTCCTGCTCTTCGTCTACTCTGTGTGCCCAGTTCTTTGCAGACTTGACAGTGGCCTGGCTTCCTAGAGCGGCTTGTGATCCAGGGAGGGTGTTAAGCCCTCTGAGGACTACAGGTGTCTCATCCAATGGTGTGACTATGAGAATGCCACTTCCCTTATCTGGGCCATGGAACACGCTCCTTCAGGCCTGAGCAAGTGACCCAGGCAATGTCCTTAGAAAGGAAACGACAGGGAGTCTGGAATACTGCCTAACTGTGCCCCCCGCCCCAGTCCATCCTGTAGGGTGGGGGGCTGGGGGCTCAGGAGAGGCCTCCTGGCGGAGGTGGTCCTGCTGGCAGTGATGGGGCACAGAGACACTGGAGTGTGGGGGGGAGGAGGGTCTGCTTTCCAGGAAGGGATTGGCTTTCAGAACAGCCCAGAAGCGTACCTGCAGGGCAGTGACTGCGGCAGAGCCCACAAACAGAGAATTCACGTTCACTGAGTGCCTGCTCTTGGCAGTGCCAGATGCATCCCAAGGTCAATGTGAATCTTGTGAATTCTTCCCTCCCCACCAGTAGGGCCCAGTGGCTGACCAGTAAACTCTGGAGCAAGGATGCTGACTATAAATCGTGGCTCTACCTGTTACTACCTGAGCGGCTGGGTTAAGGGACTTAAGTCTCTGGATCTCAGTTTTCTGAACTAAAGAATGGAAATAACAGTCCCTGCCACAAAGGGTTGTTGGAAAAAAAAGATTCAGTGAACGCCAAGAGAAGCTATGTAGCAGCATGCCTGATACTTAACAAGGGCTCGATAAATGTTAACTGTTCTTATCCTTACGCTCTTTTAAGAGGAGAAAACTGAGACAGAGAGGCAAGGTCACCTGCCCAAGGTCACACAGCTAGGGAGGGACGGAACTGTGATTGGAAGCCAGGTTCATGTTGGGATAAAGACAGAAAGGGAGCTGAGAGGGAGACCAGAGTCCCTGACGATTGGAAAGTCATAGCAGAGGTCCAATTGTCTCCTGTGGGTTTCCACCCCCTAAGAGTTAGAGATCACGCTCTTCTGGGGGCACATAACTACGCAGGGGGAAGGAACATGAAGCCGAGCTGAGTTCTAGCCCCAGCACTACCGCTAATGAGCTGTATGGCTTCTCTGAGCCTCAGTTTCCTCCTCTGTAAAATGGGACTAATTCTACCTTCCTGCTATCAGGATTAGAGTCTTTGCTTGGAAAAGGCCTCTTCTCTCCTCCCACACCTTCCACTGGCTCCTGCCTGCCGGAAGAGGATGAGTCAGCTTGCCCACCCCCCTGGGAGGTGGGCCCAGGCAGGGCGGAACAAGGCCACCAGAGGCACTTAAATCAGGGCAGAAAAGCAGAAGTGACAGTTCTGGTCACTTTTGGAGGACGGAATTCCCCCCACTTCCTCTCCACTTACCTTCGCTGCCTGAGCCCGCCTGCCCAGATCCACTGCTGTTCAGGGAGCATGAGGGCCCCCCAGGAGATAGCTGAGCATCTCGTCAGGACCGGGTAGGTCTGGGGACCTGGACACTGGGGGCCACAGGCAAGAAAACAGTCAGTGGTCAGGCCTGATGGGTATGAGCTAGGTCTCAGTCTCTGCCATTCCCTGGCTGTGTGACCTTGGGTAAATCCTCACCTCTTTGAGCCTCAGTTTCCCCATCTGCGAAATGGGAGTAATAATAATGTCTACGAGACTGTTGTGAGAATTGAATGAGAAAACGCATGCTTAGCGCTTGTCGTCATGCTCAGCTCAGAGAAAGCTCCCAACGAATGGCAGCAGGTTCCTTAGCATTTACAACATTCAGCACAGACCTTGGCACCCAATATGACTTAGAATTGCTTTTCCATTCCAATGTCATTCAAATTATTAGCTATCATTTTAACAGCTACCATGTTTCAAATATGAATTATACAGTAGAAGGGAGTTTAGTCCCAAATTAAAATGTCAGCGGGACTGGGAAGACCCTAATTCATCACCTCTAACCTCAAGTGGGTCCTCAGCGCCGCCCGGCATGTATCTAACTTCCCGAGTTCATTTACTCTCCCACTTTCCTGGCCACCTATGTTATACCTTCTTCTTCGCCTTCAAATTTCCATCATCTCCTCTAGCATCCTCACCGTCAGTGCTGATCTGCCTTCCTGCTACCCTGAACAAACAGAAGTAAACATGCTATAGTCCACAAATATTTATGGAGCACCCCCTATACATCAGACACTATTCCAGGTCCTTGGTATTTATCAGTGATCAAAAGAGACCAAGTCCCTGCCCTGGTGGAATTGAGGCTCTCGTGACAGGTAATAGCTGACATGGTACTTCCTATGTGCCATGACCCTATGAGGTATCACTTTTATGCACCATTTTACAGATGAGAAAACTGAGGCACGAAGAGGTTAAGAAACTTGACCAAGGTCACACAGATGGTGAGTGATGAAGCAGGGATTTGAACCCAAGCAGTCTGGAGGTCACGCCCTTAACTATTGCTCTGTTCTGTGTATACTGGTTGATACCGATACCTTAGTACGCACACCTTACCTGTCCATTCACCATCACCTGTAACCATTTCCTGTGCCTTCCCACCTGCTACTAAGGATGAACAGCCCCTGCTCCTTTCTAAGACCAGCCCCAGTTTCCATGCTCTCAATCTCACCCATGCCACTCACTGAAGAATGTCACACCAGCAAGCCTCCCTTTCATCAATGTCTCCCCTCTTGATTGGATCCCCCATCTGCAAACATGCTCAAGTTCCTCCATCCTAAAGGAACTTGGTTCCATTTCCCATGTCAACTACTACAACATTTCTCTACACCTTTACTGCAAAAATGAC